GTCTCATGTGCTGGAGATCTGGTAGTCCTGAACAGCTTTACAGAAAGATTAAGAGAAAATCTCCACATTGGTAAATCTGCAAAATTTTCTCTACCCTCCCCTGCTGGCAAAGGTCAGACTAGCTATGATTTTGGTGGCAATAGGTTTTTACGTAGCTTGGGGAATTACATCAGTGAGCCAGAAGGTGGTTTCTAGTTTTATTGAAAGTCCTTACTTGACATTTCTGAGTTCTTTTACTTGTAGTCTAATTTCTTTCAGACATAATGCTGCAGGGCTGGGTAGGTATGGCTAACTCCTCCAGACTCGTGTTCCCTTTCTGCTTTCTGAGAACTGCTCATGATGGAACACAGGGGACTTTTACACCTAGCAAGGCTCCCAACTGAGTCACTCTAGTGGTCTTTTTCAGATTGTCCTTGGTTTATGGTCTCAGAAATGGCAAGACTTACACTCCTGCACTTTGGTGGTGTCTTGTAGAATGAAAACTAATGACTTATTTATGAAAACTCTGAAATGTTCTGGGTACCCTCTTTCTACACTCAGTAATGCATTGCCATTCCCCCGTCACCTGGGCCAAAACCCCGAATCATCTAGTATCCCTCCCTCCTCCTTTTGCCATCAAATCTTAGTTCTTTCCAAATGTATCTTTTCTTTGTTCTTTCTTTTTTATGCTTTGTGTTTTTATCACACAACATAGTAAATTGACTTATTAAATTCACTACTGGATTATTTTAATAAAATACAAAATGACCTTTCCTACTCTAGCCTCTACCATTTCCATTCTACCACTATCAAATTAAACTTCCCCAACCTGACTTCTTTCTACTGTGACTTTCTCCTACTCAGAAACGCTGGATTTTTTTTTTTTTTCCTGAGAATGGGCTAAAATCAGTAAGTCAATTTTAAAATACTTAGGGATTTGGGGTTTGTTAGCTCGAAGTCAGCCAGGGTGAAAATATTTATACCGCAGAAATCAGTAAATGCCAAAAAGTAGGTGTGTGTGTGTGCGTGTGTGTGTTTTTCCCTTTTGGGCAGAGCCATTTCCAAAACACTACTGGATAAAGTTAATACTTCCTAACCCTCCAGAGGCTGTCCTTTCCTTCCTGTTCAACCTTGGTTCCTGCCAATCCCTCATGTGAAGCTCCTAGGCCAAGTGTGTCTGTCTCCTGCCTGCCCGTCCACTCCTACCTCCTTGCCTCTGCAGAGACAGCTCACTCCATCTATAATAACATTTCCCTTTTTCATTTCTACAGCTTTTTCTCCTCCAAAATCCACTCATTCAAGGCTTACATAAGACAACCTTTTCCACAAAACTCCTTGCTTGTTTGATCGTTCTTACTCTCTCTTCCAGCTCTCTGGCCTCTCTACCTGCTTAGCCATATAAAGAAAAGATCTAGAAAAATTATTTTAACTCTTCAGGCTTTTCTTACTAAATGGCAGGTTTTTAAGAACATTTGTATCCATGCCATATCCTAGTAAGCAGCGAAGTTCCAGGCACAGAGTGGCCGTAAATAAATGCTGACTGAGCAGCCTAGTAAGTACTTTAGAAGAACAGTGGCCATGAGAATCACAGAAAGCTGCTATGAACATCATTAAACATTTACTTCCTCCATGAGTAAGAGACAGAGAGACAGCACTCATAATAGGGTCTTCATGACACATCTACTCCCAGCCTCATCCTGCCCCAGATCACGGGCATGTGTGTGTCAGGAGTCATCAGGGAGGCCATCAGATACAAACCCAGAATCTTCTCACGTGAGTCAGCCTCGCAGTGTTACCTTGCCGCTGTGGCACCATATGACCCCATAGGTTCAATTCTTATTAACAAAGTGGTAAGAATGACTGCATTCCCGATGTTGCCCTAGATCAAAAGTAATAAAAACAATCTTCAGAAAACTTAGCATTAATATTTTGACGTACCTCTAACAGCCTCCCAGCCCTTGCTGTTTCTACCCTACTCATACACATTTGGTCTTTTCTGGCTGTTTCTGCCTCTCTCCCACACAATCAGAAGTGTGTACAAACCAGTGACAGTGAGAACAACACTGGGATGGGGTGACTTTGTAACTTCTGTCAATATTTGTAAGTCTTGAAAGTTCTGTTCCTTCAACTGAATGAGATAGTTTGTGAAAGGCAGGTTGTAAATTGGTACGCACACTACCTATTTGAGGAGGATTTAGTTTTGTTGTTGTTTTTTTATTTTTGTGGGCAGGGTCTCATTTCATGATCTGCTTACCTCAGCCTCCTAAGTAGCCAGGACTATAGGTATGTGCCAGTGCATCCAGTTTTTAGGGTTGGCTGGGCCTATCTGAGGACTTATTTAACTGCACAGGGAATATTTAATTTTACCTGTTGTTCCTTCTCAAGGCACAAAGTTCTGGGGCAGGAGCAATGTCAGAATAGTCTCTGGTCTTTGGGGTCCACTTTGCCCTTCTTTAGCTCTCCCACCTGGGGTTGGATAACTCGATAGTGGAGTAAAACCTCAATGAAGGGAATTATATCATGGCTTAAGCACTGAACATGGGTCTACTTAGTCTAAGCCACAACCCAACCACAAATTTAATAAGGAGAAAAAAAAATCTCAGCAACACAAAAACAAAGAACTCTCAACTTCAGAAACACTGGGAGGGCAACAGCTGGTCAGCCGAGATTAAAGGAGCGTGAGAGAGCGCCTTCTCATCTCCTGACTTCTCCTCCCCCATAGACACCCCTGCAGCCAGCTTCGGCTGGCTTTTACAGCCCTGTGCAGATGACCTTGTTCCAGCTAAGATAGGAGCTCTTTTGATCTCAGCAGGGGGATGCTCTGTGCCTGCAGCTGGCAGATATTAATAGTACAGGACCCGTTGGAGTGGAAGAGATCTCTCAGTTGGGCCAGGTCACTTGTATTCCCTCCTCTGCGGCAGAGCAGAAGGAACTTCATTTCCCTGAATCGGCCCCTGCTGGGTACTCCTCTCAGGTCAACTCAGATCATTTTATTGCTGGCTGCTCTTGGCCGCTTGTTCTTGCCTCACGACTATTTTCAAGGGAAGACTGTTTTAGCAGTGCCCTCTGTTCTGCAGCTGAAGTCTATCACAGGACAAGGTAGACCTTGAGTCTATCTCATGTCAGTGTGTTTCTCATTGTCACTGGTTTGTGTATGTTTCTGATTGTATGTATGTTGTAGGAAAAAGGCAGAAAGCTGGAGTCAGACAAGAGCAGAAGTGTGCGCAGAGCAAGAAAGACAGGAGGGAGAGGAGGCCATTGTAGGTATCCCAAAGTATCAGTGCTAAGATTTCTGAAGATCCTTTTATTGTGTTTAATCTAGGGCAACATCAGGAACACAGTCCTTCTTTTTCTAAATTAGAATGAAAATCCCATCAGTGGGTGAATAGTCCTGATTTTCAGGCCCACCTTGTGATTTTATAATGTAAGAACTGGAAAAGACTTTAGCTATCGTCTGTTATACAAGCAGCCATTTAACAGAAGAGATGGGCAGAAATAAGGATTTGGGATTTTATATTCTACGTTGTTCTGGACCAGGCACTGTGAGTCGAAGTATTTTCTTCTAAAGCTTTTGTTTCGTTGACAGAAACTAATATATATAGGTTATTATAGAGTTAGGGACTGGTTATTTATTTATTGTGACTGTTCTATGGCCAAGGACATATTTCTTAGCCTTTGCCAATTCTTCCTTGTGGTCATTGAAGATACTAAGACTGTTGGACCTCAGTCATAGAGAATATCTTTTCTCCCCATAGTGATCAGTAGAGAAAAGGTCTAACAGTCCAGTTGGCCTAAGATGCTATGTCCTTTTCTGAAGTCACCTGGGATTTGAGCGAAAGAACTGTTTGAATCCCTACCTACATTAGGCACAGTTGGTAGGTGAGACAGGCGTATGGTGACAGTGAACTCTGAGGAAGACTGAAGCTCTGCTCAACCTAGACTGTTGGCTTTCTTCCTGTTGATGATTTAACAGGGTAGCAGTTACTTCAGTGAAGTGCCATGGTCCACTTCAGGAGTCCCAGATGGCTTCATGGAAAGGAAGACATTAATAGCCGTCATCCTGGCATTCTTAGCATCTGGCACGTTAATGTCCTTTTATCTGCATTAATAGTTTTTGATAGATCATAGCACATGAAAACTAAAAATTTAAGTGCATGGATGGGTCAAGGAAAGAACACAAGAATAAAAGCAGTACTTTCTACAACCAAGAGTGGTTTCTACTTTTTATGTTGGAAGCCTTTCTATTTTGGTTGGAGTCAGGGGAATTGATAGCTGATTTTATGTGCAAGAGAAAGTATTTTGAGATTCATATTCTTGAACAAGCCATCCTTGCAAAAAGCTGGAGTCCATTTGAAAGATTATATGCAAGTGCATGGCTTGTGTCTCTTTTAAAATAAATTCAACAAGCAAGAGCTCAGAATGGTTGGGGCAAATCAGGGACTCGTGGTTGTGAAAGAAGCAGACTTCAAAGCGTGGTATGAATTTTCAAGCTTTATTTCCACTCTTGCTTTCCAGCTGGATCTGCTCTGGATTTACTGCAGGATGTTTGAAAATGTGGCTCCCTGCTAAT